TCGAGACATGGGGGGAGCACATACTTGCACGGCGTGTCTGAAACACAGAGGGGGGGGGGCCAATGTGAGACGTGGAGCGTCGCCAGATGGCTCGACGGGGGCGCCCCCCCGCTGCGCACCAACGACAGTCAACGAAGCTAGACGTTGGCAACGAGCTCTTGTGGAGTATGATACATTCAATGCCCTGCCACACGGTGGCAAGCACGAGCGCCTGGATGGAGCATCATCTCCAGCCATACTGGCGCCCGCAGGCCTCAAGCAGCCGCTCCAGCCCAGTGTTTCACAGCCGACGTTGATCAGTGCGTGCACCACCACTTGGACCCGAGCGAGATAGGCAAGGCTCGTGCACGGACTATCGGCCTAAGAACGCCTACGCTAGCTGCTCGCCTCATCAGCGTCGACACCGGGAAATGCTCTCACCCCAAGGGCTCCCACATGGTGCTCCAAGGCAAGACCTCCGGGGACTGACAAAAAGTATGAAAAATATCGACCCACCAGACATGTGCAGACACATTGCAAGAGCCATCTCGATGTCTATCAGAGCACAGTATGCAAAGATAAACGACTGTGATGCAAGAGAAGGGGACCCAGACATGATGCAGGGACTCCTCCATTACTACGTCAAAGAAGTCGGGGATGAATTTATTGAAGCACCGGATTTGGCGTATGGGAAGAAAAAGGAGCGAAGTGTGACCCCGAGCTGCATAGGTTCAGGGCTGCTGTTCCCACTCCTACTCTGACTCCTGTCCCAACTCGCGGACCCACACCAGCTTGTAATCCGACTCCTGCTGATGAGGCCCCTCCTTCCCTGGTTTCACTGGTCCTGGGGGAGGAACACGGGGCTCAGAAATTCCTGGGCCCCTCGCCTCCCCCTCCTTCGCCTCCGCGGCCTCCACCCCCCCCCACCTCGGCACAGCTGCCTCTCATTGCTGCCGACAGGGCGGAGGCCAGACGGCGCCGCGAGGCCAGACGCGCCTCGGACCACAGGCGACGAGCGCCGTGGCAGGGCACCCTCACCTTCCAGGGCATGTTCCAGGCCGGCCCCCGCCCTCCTGGCCCTCCCCTCGTTACAGTCCTGGAGGAATAGGCCCCCACCGTTCTTCAGAGCGCAGCGTCCGCGCTCATGCCACCGTCCCACCACCTCTCCTCCTCATCCCCCCTCCTCCTCCTCCTCCTCCTCCTCCTCCTCCTCCTCCTCCTCCTCCTCCTCTTCCTCCCTCCTCCTCCTCTTATAAGTAACTGCTCCCTGTCGCACCCCGAGGCCAGCTTTTAGGGCGGGCCTGGCTTTTCGCCTGACACTTCCTCACCATTTACGACTCTGGAGCTTAACGATTGGCAACAGCTTCACATATAGAGGGCGGGTCGTTTTCAAAATGTGGCTCTCGCCCTAGACCCGCGCACATTCGTCTTGAAAATTTGCAAGAGTTTTACGGATTGAGGGCGAGCCGTTTTCAAAATGTGGCTCTCGCCTTAGCGTCGCGCACATTCGTCTTAAAAATTTGCGAGAGCTTCACAGCTTCAAGGCGGTTCCTTTTCAAAATGTGGCTATCGCCTTAGTGCCGCGCAGATTCGACTTACAAGTTGCAAGATGTTCGCGAAATTCCATTATCCGCCGGCCCCCTTGTGGGGCCACCAGGCTGTAGGAGCGGGATTCGCAGTTTCCTGTACCAGTTGTAGCTTGTAGTTTCCAGTGTTACAGTTCTGCTTCTTGCTGGTTACTGTAACTAGTTGATTGACCGCGCGAGGGGGGGGGACGCCCAAACCAGATATTTAGCACCCCCTGGGCGCGTTGTCTGAATTGCTGGGGGGGCTCGAAATCGACACCCCTCACACAGATCGCGGGGTCAGGGTCCAAAAACACAGGGGATGTGCCACATTTCTGAAATTCGGTGCCACCCCTCACGCAGATCCGCGGGGTCAGGGTCCAAAAACACATGGGATTTGCCACATTTCTGAAATTCGGTGCCACCCCTCACGCAGATCCGCGGGGTCAGGGTCCAAAAACACATGGGATTTGCCACATTTCTGAAATTCGGTGCCACCCCTCACGCAGATCCGCGGGGTCAGGGTCCAAAAACACAAGGGATTTGCCACATTTCTGAAATTCGGTGCCACCCCTCACGCAGATCCGCGGGGTCAGGGTCCAAAAACACAGGGATTTGCCACATTTCTGAAATTCGGTGCCACCCCTCACGCAGATCCGCGGGGTCAGGGTCCAAAAACACAAGGGATTTGCCACATTTCTGAAATTCGGTGCCACCCCTCACGCAGATCCGCGGGGTCAGGGTCCAAAAACACATGGGATTTGCCACATTTCTGAAATTCGGTGCCACCCCTCACGCAGATCCGCGGGGTCAGGGTCCAAAAACACAGGGATTTGCCACATTTCTGAAATTCGGTGCCACCCCTCACGCAGATCCGCGGGGTCAGGGTCCAAAAACACAAGGGATTTGCCACATTTCTGAAATTCGGTGCCACCCCTCACGCAGATCCGCGGGGTCAGGGTCCAAAAACACAGGGATTTGCCACATTTCTGAAATTCGGTGCCACCCCTCACGCAGATCCGCGGGGTCAGGGTCCAAAAACACAAGGGATTTGCCACATTTCTGAAATTCGGTGCCACCCCTCACGCAGATCCGCGGGGTCAGGGTCCAAAAACACAGGGGATTTGCCACATTTCTGAAATTCGGTGCCACCCTTCACGCACATCCATCGCAAGGCGTGGTAACCCAAACTGCGAGAACTCCCTCGGCCCTTTAATCGCAAGGTGTGGTAACCAAGCCCGTAAACCATACACGTCTTACCAATCGCCAGGTGTGGTAACCCCTCTTGTGATCAGTTGGTTTTGCTGATTGCGAATCGGCTTCGCATGAAGTTTCGATACTGCTTCACGACAGCGCCAAGGCCTCATGACTTAGCTCTTCCATGGCCCATTCTCCGAGAGAGGGGGCCGGCGGCAGGGGGCGAAGCCCTTACGGATTAACATATCAGAAATTTTGTTTCGGAAGGATTCAGGCTTATGAGGGTGCACAAGTTATGCTGACTCGCGGTGTCCAAGTCCCAGGAATCGCTCTCTGGCACGATTCAAGAGATCGTCAAGACGCAGCAGTCAGGTTGATCCGTAGCGTTGGAATCTCGAGAACCATGTTTTGGCATGCTTCAGGATCTTCAAACAATTGTCTTCCAACGAGGCAGTTCCCTCAGTAACAATGAACCGTTGTAGGGGCCTATGAAGAGGAAGCTTGGAGGGAGGATTTATTACATCATCGCTGATGCCCCTTGGGTTTACACTGGTCTTCCTCCTCATCCTCCTCCTCCTCATCCTCCTCCTCCTCATCATGATCATCCTCCTCTTCCTACTCCTCCTCCGCCTCCTCAGCCTCCATCATCCCTCCTCCCTGCTCATCGTCCATACTGCATCATCCCTCCTCATCCTCATCAATATCCTCCTCCTGATCTTCCTCCTCATCACTCGTCGCCATGACTCCTCATCTGCCGTCATCACCACCACCACCACCACCACCACCACCATCAATATCGTCATCAGCATCAGCATCAGCATCGGCATCAGCATCAGCATCCTAACCAAAATCATCATCATCATCATCATCATCATCATCATCATCAGCATCAGCATCAGCATCAGCATCAGCATCAGCATCAGCATCATCACCAACAACAACAACGTGATCATCAGCATCATCATCATAATCATCATCATCATCATCATCATCATCATCATCATCATCATCATCATCATCATCACCATGATCATCATCATCATCATCATCATCATCATCCTCAGCACCCTCATCCTCATCCTCAGCATCATCAGCATCAGCATCACCATCATCATCATCGTCATCAGCAGCATCATCAGCAGCATCAGCATCATGATCATCTTCATCAGCATCATCCTCATCGTCCTCATCGTCAGCAGCATGGTCAACATCACGATTGGCATCATCAGCAGTAGCATCTCCATCATCAAAAAACAAGATCGTATTTATCATCATCATCATCATCATCATCATCATCATCATCATCATCATAACCATCATCGTCATCATCATCATAATCATCATCATCATCATCATCATCATCATCATGTTCTTCATCATCATCAACATCATGTCCATCATCAGAAGCCACATCACCATAATCATCGTCAGCATCGTCAGCAGCATCATCATCAGCATCATCATCGACATCGTCATCATCATAATCGTCATCACCATCAGCAGCAGCATAATCATCGCCACCATCATCATCATCATCAGCATCATCAGCATCATCGTCCTCGTCGTCGTCGACGTCGACGTCGCCGTCATCAAACACAGCAACAGTAACCTCAACAGTGGCATCGTCATTCGCACCATTATAATAATCAGTCGCATCAACATCAACAGTATCATCAACAACATCGTCATCATCAACAGCAGCATCATCATCGTAATAGCCACCACCACCACCACCATCATCATCATAAGCATGAGCATCATCGTCATAATCATCGTCATCATCAGCACGAGCATCATCAGCATCAGCATCCTCAACCTCATCCTCATCCTCATCGTCATAGTCACAGTAATCGTAATCGTCATCGCCGTCATTACCATAATCACCATCATCATCAACATCATCAACACCATCGTCGACATCAGGAAAATAATCGTCAGTAGCATTATCATTCTCAGCAGCAGGATCAAAATCATCAGCATCATCAATATGATCGACGCCGTCGTCATCGTCATCGCCGACATTATCATCTTCGTCATCATCAGCGTGCATGCGCAGCGTCAGCATCACCAGCATCATCCTCGTCGTCATCGGCATTATCACCATCACCATCACCATCACCCGCACCATCATCATCATCAGCATCATCATCGTCAGCAGCACCAGCATTTTTCCCGCTCGCCATCGATCCATCCATCCATCCATCCATCCCATCCATTTATCCCTCGCTTCCTCGCTCCTCCCTCCCTCCTCCTGGTAGCCTTCGGGGCTGTTCTCGATAAACGCGTGGAAGCCGAGGTTGAGAAGAGCCAAGAAGAAGCCCATGCAGAACAGCGGGTGGACAACGACCTGTGAGGAGCAGGGCATCGCCACCCTTTGGCCTCCAGGGAGGGAGGAGCGAAAGGAGGGGAGGGTGTGAAGATGCTACTGCGAATCCGATGCGGCGGATGGCGATTTGCTTTTCGTCTGAACAGCCTGAAGCTAAAGGGCCCTGAGCCATAACGCTACACACATACAGTCCATATGAAACGAGGGGTACACAGCTGCATGCAAGCATCATCGCTTCCACATTCGCTCTGAAATTCTGTTGCCCCGAAGCAATCTCGGGAATATGGAAATACGTGTGGCTCGTCACACGCACGAATATGAACTCAGGGCGGCCAGCCGTCGACTGGCTTCAATCATGCTGCTCACTTGTTTCACACTTCGCGGAAAGAAAGCGGGTATACGTAAGCTTTACAGGGTGTATATTGTCGGACGTGAGAGCAGCGAGCATGTACACAAATGTGCGGCAAACAGCATGCGTGTGCGTGCACAGAATATTAGGCAGGTCCCTACCACCACATCCTTTTTCTCCCAAGACGTAGCCCATGATGCGAATAACGAATTGTTATCCTCCTCCGCTGTTGGCGGTACTGCTTGATGGAACATCACTCTGCCAGTGATTGCTGTTCGAATCCGCGTGCCATCCATTATCCTTGTCAAAGCGTCGGCCAGCATATGTTTCGTAGGACACCACAACAGTGGAGCCTTGATTTGGTAGCAGCGGCCACCTCCTCGCACAGCTCGTCCTCGAACAGTTCCCATCAGCCCGATCAGGTCGAGAACCAATCTCCTCTCGGCTGGCAACTGCACTGCTTTCTCTCGAAGAGTAGTGTCGTATAGCAAAGCACAATCGGTCACGCACTGGATGGGACACAAGCTCGGGTCGATGTCGTCGATCGTCATGTTTGGGCAGACGATGGTTAATGCCGAAGCTCGCATCACTATAGCTGCTCCAGGCGCGTCAACAGCACTGACGGTCTGTGCTGCGAACGTACTGAGACACACCTTTCTTGCCGCAGCGGATCGCCAATCCACCAGCGCTGCCCTGCCATCACCGTCCTCCAAAATCTTCTGCTCGGTTACGGAGATCAGGAATCCGGCCTGGTTTTTGGCCTTGAGACGCTTTGGCCCTTCCGATGCAAACGCTCTCCTCGCTCTGCGCACGCACCACCAAGCTACGCCATCCACCCTGTCGTCGGGCTCGCCCATGTTGGCCCAACGGCATCATGGAAAACCAAAATACACAGATCGACCTCCATCTTGGGCATTGGCTCTCCAGTCCCCTCGGAGTGCCTAGCCTCGGACACGATGCGATTCGTCTCGATGGCCTGCGACAACTGGCGCATTCTGAACACTCTGCGACATTAAAACTCCCGCCGACTAGTCCAGCCCACAAGTCCGGCCTCGTCTGGGTCGCGAGCCATCCTAGACTTCCTATCAAGTTTCGATTCTCGGCGGTCTCCAACTCGGTCGCTGGGCAGCCAAGGTCCCTCTTGCGTTCCTCGTTCAAGTCGAGCAGCCCCACCTCGGCTGCAAATATCTCCTGCCAGTGACTACGTCCTTGCCGCAAAACGTGAGCGGCAGTCCTTGCCACCCTCCGAGTGGAAAAAGCCCCCCGATGGTCTGGCAGCCCAACTTGGCACTGGCCGCGACGAGGAGGGCGCCCACGCGAACGCATGCGATAGCCTGCAGGAAGCCGCTGCGACTATGTCCCACAAACAAAGCTGGGGCTCTGCACTAAATTGAACGCGCCTCCGCCCTCGCCAGTCAGCTCCACCTTCAGCAGCGCGCGCTTGAGAGTGGTTCACCACTGCTTCGGCGCAGCCACATGTCCAAGGACTCCCTCCACCACTCGCACTACCTGTCCTGGACGATGTCCTGGTAAACCTTGAACCCACTCCCCGGTGAACAACTCCTTGTCACGAGGTTTTTCCTTGCCCTGCATGAATGCGGACCTGATATCTGCACAGGTGGGCCCCAACCATGCCGCGCTGTCACCGTGGAACATGGCAGGGAGCGCGCGCGCGCCACCGTCGAAGCGTCAGTCCTCAAAACTCCCGCCTGAAAATATGGATCTCGATGTCCTCCAGCGCACAGCCGGGCCTTTGCCTTCACTGGCACAGGATTAGCCCCGGCGCGAATGGCAGCATTCTCGTCGCAGAACACGAACCTCGATGGCAAGAACCGGCTCTCGACATTGAGATCCCGCGCCTCGTCCGAGGTCCTCGGGCGACATCACCTCCACCGAACCGAACTTCCCCCGCTACTTCCAGCGCTCGGCGACGGCCTTCTGGCAGAGAGCATCCTGCTCGTCGGGCATATCCCCCCACGCGATCTCCCTGTCTCGCAGGTCCTTGCGAAGACTCTCGCTCTGAGCTCGAACTCCTCGCAACATCGCGGCAGACGTGGAGCTGGCGATGTTGCCCTCGTCCAGGTCGTCGTCCGAAAGCGCGCGACAAGGCTGGGCTGCTTGGCGCGTAGCCCCCGCCTTGGCTCTCGTCGCCTCGATGCACGGCGGCACGTCGTGGAGGGGGCTGCATGCCGCTCGGCGTCGTTGAAACCCCCCACGGTTCCAGTTACCGTCGTCTGGCCCCACCGGCTGCAGAGCATCGCCCTGCGCCGCGGACGATGGGGATGCCAGCTCAGGCTGCACTGCTGGGAGCTCGCCCTCTGCTGGAGGAAGCTCGACATCAGCGCCATCTCGCGTCTGCCTGAGACTCCGGCTCTGGAGGCCACACCTCTACGCCCCCCGCTTCTTCGTGCGACGGTGGCTCTTCCCCTCGTAGGTCCTCGCACTCCACGTCGGCACTGGCGTCGATGTCTCGGTCGATTCGCTGAAGTTGGTCCACGGCCTCTCCACGCTGATCGTCGATACCTGGCCAACACGCTTCTTCGGATGAGAGAGATCGAACATGTTCAGGAGCTACGACCTTCGTGAACCCACCATGCGAGATCAAATAGATTTGCACCTGCTCGCCAACCACCACTGTGGGACCTAGCCACACCCCTTTCTTGATGGAGCCCTTCTTGAGCTGTCGGCTGTAGAAGCACAAGTTCCCCTGCTCCAGAGGACGCGGAGCCACTCGAGCTCGCCCGAGAAGCGCCTTTTTCGCAGGGTGCCGTCGTTCTGCATTTCCACCAAACCCCTGCAAACGGCCATCCTCATCTTGAGCTGTCTCTCCATCGGTTGAAGCTCCGCACCCTCGTGAGCTGAATCATGATGCGCTCCGCCAACTAGGTCGGCTGGCAAACGAACACTCTTGCCAAATACCCACCGCTCCAGACTGAAACCACACTGTCGTCGCGAAGCGTTCTGGGCTCCTGTCACTACGGACGCGATCGCGCGCATGTCTGTTTCTCCTGAGGCTTGTGGTTGGTCGCCCTTTCGGCTAGCTCTTTCACCTAGCACCCCTGTCTTCCAGTCCGGCCACTTTGCCCGGCTGCTTGTCTTGCCACGCGCACGACGGCACAGTGAAATGCGTCAGGCATGTCTTGGAATACGGAGCCGAAACCTCTCTCGAGATCCACCACCACGCCTGATGGGAACCCTGCCCAGCTTGCCCAGATCTGCGCAGATACTCGCACCAACGTTTCAGAATGATGGCTCTCGTTTTCCACCACGTGAAACGTAGTACCCAACAAATCCACCACTGACAGAACATCCCAAGACTTGCCGTCGTTGTCACTGATCGCGAAGCAGTCCAGGCCGATCTGCTCGTTGAAGTCAGCCGCGCGTGAGAGGCGAGCGGGCCTCGTGACCATCTTCTCGGCCTTGCTCACGCACGAAGCACATCGCAGTGACTTCGCGGACTTGACCACCTCAGCTCTGAAGCCTGAAAAACGTAGCGACCGGGCCCACTCCTCGTTGCTGGGGGGGGGGCCCAAGTTCTGGTGTAGTTCGAACACCGAGCTTGCAGATCCTTGCTCGAACACCAAGCCCCCAGGCGCAAATTCTTCACGCTCCGCGCATCCCCGCAAGCCCATTCAGGAGCCCTCCCTTCAGAGCTGACGGGGAAAGGGACGAAGAGACACATCTAGGGAAACAAAGCGAGCAAGGGGGCGGCATTGGAAGGCCTCTTCGGGCCATCCCTGGGCGCCGCGCGGGAGCGAGGGGATGAAGAGGGGGGGGCGAGGACTAGGATGATGACGACGCGGACGAGGACTCATGGAACCATCTAGAAGTATTCTCCCTCCCTCCCTCCCGCCCTCCCTCCCTCCCCCCTCCCTCCCTCCCTCCATCCCTCATTCCCTCCTCCTCCTCCTACACTCCTCCTCCTCATCTTCCTCCTCCTCCTCCTCCTCCTC